CAACCATGGATTCTATCTTCTTTCTGTTGCTTCAAGTCTCTTCTTCATCTGTGAAGAGATTGTTCAGCATTCACTGCCTTATTGGAGAACTGATATTATGTACCAGTTCAGTACTCTTTTCTTTGTTCCTAATGAAATTATCCTGACAATGACTAATAATAATAGTTTTTATCACCAGTTTTTTGTTTTCTTATTTTAAAAATGTCTAGTTTAAAGAATGCAATAAAAGTTAAGATGCAAGAAATAATCTTCAAAAATTAATTACGCTTCATTTAATAAAAATACAAGGTAAAGTTCATTTATGTTTACAGCAAAAATACATAAAAAGAACAGCATGAAAAATGTTAATTTCTTGATTCAAAATGATTCAAAGCATTAGAAAAGTCAAGTGTAGATTGTTTCTAATCTGTTCAACCGCAATAAATTGGGGTGATGACAGTGCTTATTAGGAAGTGGGTTGTGATGGTAAAATGGAAAAGCTAATCTTTTTTTAAGAGCCATTTTATATGTATTTATGAAATTTAGAGATTCTAATATTTTTATAACACAGACATTTTGAATTCATGAATATTTAATGTTTTAAAAACCTTCCTGGTTTTTCTTTTTTTTTTTTCTATTTTATCTTATCATTTTCTTCACTTCTCTTTCCTTTTTTTTAACTTGGTATTTCTCCATAATTTTTAATTTTGTTTTCTTTTTCATTTTATTAATTTTTCAATAATTTTCATATTTTCTTTTTCTTTCTTATTTCCTCTCTTTTCTCTTCTTTCTTTAAATTCCTTCTTTAACTAACATTCATCTTTTTCCTCTTTTCTTTCTTCTCACCATCTTCTTTCTTACATTTATTCAGCATTCCTCTTTCACACATTTTAAACCATTTGGTTTCCTCATTTATTCAACATCTGTGAAAACTTCACTCTCAGTCAAATTCTAGCATCTGTCACTCCCACTCATCTTCCTTTCCCCACACCCTCTCCTTTTTCTTGTTTTTTTTTTTTGTTTTGTTTTTTTTTATGGTAGCTGAGGTGTTGGCAATTCTTGGGTCTTTATTATTCCAAGGCTTTGTTGCAAAATATGGCACTGAATTCTTATATGCAACTCAAAATGATTCTGCTTCTTTTTGAATGAATAATTCAATTCTTCTGTTCATTAACTTCAACTTTACACAGCTGTGCTGAAGAATATGAAATTAATCAAGTATTTGAGATGAATATTTGATAGCTGCAAAAAATAAGTTTATCTCTTCAGTCCTTTGAATTAAATTAATTTTATAATTTATTTATTTGCCATCTCATCTGTTAACAACAGATTCTTTTTGGTTTTTTACACTTCCTTTCAATCTTTCTGTGTTGGTAACTTTGATTTAATATTAACATAATAAATAAAAATAGTTCTATTCTAAAAGAATGACCTATGACAATCCCTTTTTTAATTTTCAGTGTGAAAGACAGAGATTGAGTACTTTCTTATTTTAAAAATGTCGAGTTTAAAAAATGCAACAAAAGTTAAGATGCAATTCAAAAATAGCAAAATTGTTCAAGTAATATGGCTTCTCATTTTGCATTTTATAGATGCAGATTTTAACAAAGCATTGCCAAATTAAAAAAAAAATGCTTGTTAAAATGCATAAAAATCGAAAGTATCTCTTTTCATTTTCATTATCAGTAACATTATGGCACAAAATAAAAAAGAATTTTTACCCTTGTGCGATTTTAATGCTTATATTTCTTGATAGCTTTGCTTGAATTTTTTTTTATTATTCCTACTTGGTCAAATTTCATGCAAATAGGAACAGAATAAATGTGTCAAAACTAAGAAAATGAAAATAGATTAAACTTTACTCAACTGTATCAAAATCATTATTTATTGTCTTTTAATGTCTTTTCAGGTCTCTGTAATTGTTTCTAAATCTCATCCTTGTATAGAACTAATGAGTCGTGTTTATAGGAATAACAGCACCTCTTGTCTTTAATTGGCTACTACAACTTGAAATTGCCATTGGACAATCTCATCTAAAGAGGCAGGCTTCTCATTATAATCAGGATGACCCAATAATCCTACAGATTTTTCTTCTTTTTCTTTCTCTATTTCTATTAAGTTTATTATGGTAGCACATTAATAAGCTGGTTACCTACTTATAGCTGCATTAGAAAATTATTAAACCTATATTTGATAGCAAATAAATACTTATAGTGCATAAACTAATTGAAGATACTTGTTTGTCTTCAAAGAAATCTCATTCCATTTATTTGGTAATCAACTGGGACTTTAGATGTTTTGAGTTATGGTTCCTACTATTCAAAAGTGATCTGGGAAGAAATCGCTATTATAATGTAAAGGGACAAATTATAAAAGATATCTGTTTAGGTATTATTCTTTGAAATAAACTTATTCTTTATAATTAGTGAACAAGGGAAGAAAGGTTTTGTGTTTTCCCCATTATTGGCATTATTATATATCCATGATATAATAACACCTTATTTCACAGATGGAAATATCAAAAAGAAAAGGAATGACAAACATGCTTTGTTCTTGGAGAGAGTTTTATATTACTAAGTCATACACAAAATTATATACTTATATACATATATTTACATATCTCCCATGCAGAGAAATTATAACATGTATGTAAAAATAAGCAGAATGAAAAGAGGATGAAAAAAGAGAATCGTATGTATAATAATTCTTAACAGGAACTGGAGCTACTGGAAATTCTTCTATGTTTCTGGAAAAGCTATATTCATCTGCTATGTTGCTATCAAGGACATATTCCACAAACAGGAAAAGCATGTCCTAGGTTTTTCCCAAATTAAGGACTGCAGGCCAGAGATATTTTCTTTATCTGGGGAAGATATATTTCCATAGAAAAACAGTGCCATAGACTTGTTAGCTGCACCATAGAGCTGAGAGAGGCAGATTTAATCTCAGGCTGGGCCCCTCAGCTTGGGCTAAAAAGTAACTGCTCAATTTGACTCTTGAAAGTTGACTGACCAACCACTTTTGTCACACTATGAAATGACCTCACTAAGCAGCCATCACGTGACATAAGTGAGTTTATCTCAACAAAAGTAAGATAATCACCTGTGGTCCAGTTGACTACATTGATACAGTGCCAAATCAACCCCTGACCCCCAGAGAATTATCTGCACTTAGGTTTTATTTACATTGAAAATGTGCATTTATCATTTATATCTGTATATGAAAACAGACTTTTATTTTATTTTTTAAAAAGATTTCTTTTAAATAAGCAACAAACGGATATATAAATATATACTTTGTATATTAAGAAAACATTTTAAACCAGCAATTGTTTGGCGAAAATGTTTTTTATTTTTTTTACAAAATGATTTTTTGTCATTAAAAAACAAACAAATATATTGATTGTAAAGGTAGTTCCATGCTTTTAATTAAACTTAATTCTTTTATTCTTTGAAATGAACTTAATTCTTTTATTCTTTGAAATGAACTTAATTCTTTTATTTTTTTTTAAATACATTTATTCTTTCATTATTGAATGATTGGATACTTTCTGGCCAGGCCTCACACACACACACACATAAGCAACTGCATACGCATGTGTTGGTGTGCATACACAGACAAGCAAATAGATAATCACCAAATTTAGTCATGAGGCATAAACATAATAGTGCTCAATGTGGTTAGACAGGGAAAAAATATATATTAATATACATATACATATACCTACATTTTGGTGTGCGACTTAAATTTTGCTGGTTTTCCAGCTCATGAAACCAGTGAAACTTAAATCACACACCAAAATGTAGGTATATATATATATATATATACATATTTATATTTATTATATATATATATATATATATATATATATATATATATATATATATATATATATATATTTATATATATATATATATATATATATATATAATCATTTGCTCTACAAGGATGACCACCAAATAGTGTATAAGGTGGTTTCCATTCAACTTCTAGTGGAACTCAATGTTGCCTGCATGATTTTCTTCCATAGCTTGCAAAACATTATGTGAACTCTCAGCATCAGACAGGCTTGATCCAATAACAAGAAACCAGTCAAGAGAATTGGAGACTGTCTGTGCTACAAACAATTAAAGTAGTCTGATGGTAAGACACTGGCAAGATTGTTAATTCCTGCTGCCAGATTGCATCCTTCAAATCTACAAATCAACCATTCATCCTTGCATAGAATAATGCTGCCATATATGGTCTGGCGCTCCTGCTGTTCATCTCATGCTTCTAGACAAAATCCAGAGACAGATATGCAACGTGGTTGGTATGCCGTCTGCAGTCGCTATCTCACAGATGTGTGGTGGATTCCCTCTGCATTTTCTATAAGTACTTTCATGGCAACTGCTCCAATGAGCTACTTTTACTGGTTTCCAAATTGCATGAATTTAAGCATGCTACTAGGTTGGCATCTCGGTCCCACCGTTTCACTGTTGAAACAGCTAAATGTAGCCATCTCTTCTACTCCAACAACTTCTTATCCCGCACCTCCCATCAGTGGAACTCCCTTTCTATCACTTGCTTCGCTGATAGCTATAATATTCAAATATTCAAATGTAATGTCAATCGACATCTTCTGATGCCTTGGCCTTGATACCTGTCCTTCTCCTTATCCTTTTCCCAAACACTCCTCTTTACTCTTACTCTCACTCTCTGTAACCCTAGTGGCACTCCTGTCTTGCTTGGAGTGAATTGCATAAAAAATAAAATGATATGACTGATTTGTTTTATATTGCTTATCAACCCTTTTCAGGTTATTTAAAGCCAGAAAATATTTTTTAGATTTTAAGACATTTTTCTTTTTTTTAAGATAATAATGATTTAGTGATAAAAATCTCACAAATTAACCCATAGCTGGTAGGCAGAAGATGGGTATCTGTGTTAAAGTAAATATAACAAACCCAACTGGAATTGGAACTCAGCTTGCTGATTAACAATTCCAAGCCACTATCCATTACACCACCTGCACATCCTAGCTTACAGTACCTGGTATTCCCAAGTGGTCACCCATCTAGTTACTGACTAGACTCAATGATGCTTAACTTTGGTGATCATGTGGGAACCAATATTTCAACATTATATGAGCATAAGCAAATATGACCTAACAATGTCAATGTCTATAGTACCAAGTGTTCCCAAGCAGTCCTTTATCTAAGTAATGCCCAGGCTTGAAGCTGTTTAACGTCACTGATCAAACAGGAATCAGTGCTTTCAGCATCATTTGTATTTTTTGTGTGTGTATATATATATATATATATATATATATATATATATATATATAATTAGGAAAACATACCATTAACTTCTTTATTATTATTATATATATATATATATATATATATATATATATATATATATATATATATATATAAAACAGCTACCATTAACTTCTTTATTATTATATATATATATATATATATATATATATATATATATATTATCCCTTTTGATATTTCAGTTTTTTATGTACTTAACTTAGAGCAAACTATACAGCATTTTAACAGTTGATTTCTTTTCTTATTCAAATGATTCAAGAGTGACCCCTGTCTATAAAATATTAGATTCTCTGTGGACTGATAAAAGGAGTTGATCTGATTACTACATCTGTCACTATTTTTTCTTTTATTCCTTTTGTTTTTACATTTTAATGGTCATGGTAATATTAACCATTTCCTTATAAGGAAACATTTGGATCAAGCAGCCAGTGTGACTTTTGATTGAAAATTATAAAATCTTTCTTTTGAAACAGTTTTCAGGAAATTAGACTCTTTTCAGTGCTGATGGGGGAATCCTTCTAACTTTGTGTTTGAACTAGTGTGTAAAGTCAACATCTTGATTATGTAAATTGTTTTCATTCGAGTGTGCTATCTATTTTAGTTGCTGTTGTTGTTGAAAGCCCTCAGGTGATGTGTTTTTTTTTTATTTATTTGATACAGTTCTTTGTTGATGATTCTGCAGCACCAGTCCACAAGGTTTGAAGAAGGATGGTCCTCGCTAAGACCTACAGGTTGCATTTACTCAAAGCTACCTTTTACCTTTGATCTGAGAAAGTGGTTGAATATAGCTAACAGTTTAGATATTTCTAAATGAGTTTGGTAGCAGGCAAATGAAAGTCTATATGAAAGTCACAATCTGACAAGGTTATTTTAGAATCTGATTTTATTTTTTAGGTTAATACTTTGTTTATTTTTTATTTTATTTTATTTTATTTTTTTTTTTTTTTTTTTTTTGCAACTTGCAGTGTTGGGCAAAACTGAAAGACTGGTAGGCACTGACTGGGGAAAATAATAAACACAGTCTCTTTTTATATGGGTTACATACCTAAAGAAGGCCAAAGAATGAATAAACAAAAATCTGAAAGTAATAATAAAAGCAAGCGAAAATAATTGAGATCAACATACCTGCGGTGGTGTCTTATTTAATCATTTAGTATTTAGTGAATGATGCTACAATTTGTATTAGACAAGGTTGCTGTGGGTAACTAGTTTGTAGCGAGAAGAGTTCCTACTGGTTATAGCTGAGGTGAAAAACTTTCAAAGTAAAGGAATTCAATATTTTCAGAAGAAACAAATTCAACATGTGAAGGAATTTCAAACATATATTTTAATATAAAAAAAATAACAATTCAAAAAACAGAAAACATACATATATGTATAGAATTTGCAGCTCTCGATATTAACACAAAGAGGAAAAATATATTAAAAATACTTTCAAGACTCTCCAATACTATAGCTATTCCATATTCAATGCGAAACAAAAGGTTCATAAAATATTCCAAAATTGAAAAGAAGCCCCTTCCTGACAAACCCAACGAATCAAAAAATATATTACCCACTAACTCTATTATAACTACAGTCAAAAAGAATTTATCTAAACACAGCATAAAATTTGTCACAACTATATCTAAAACAATGAAAGACTTAATCAATACAAGAAGCAACAAGACAAAACTTGAAAGAGGAATTTACTCTGTCATTGCAAGGATTGCCAGAAAGAATATATCGGAGAAACCTCAAGAAGTTTGAATAAAAGATTATATGGGCAGAAAAGAGAGATTTTAAAAAACAACACATTAAGTGCATTAGTTGCTCAAGACTGACCACAGTTTTGAGATAAAAAATGCTACTCTAATTAAAAAAGAAAATAATTCACTATGACAAAAATGTTTAGAAAGTGCTTTAATTGCTAGGTCATCCACATTAAAATTTGTATCCAGGTTCTTACAACATTTCACTTTTTTTGGCAGATCTTCTTTTATCATAATGTGGGATATTTAATAATAAAGATGATGGAAACAAAAAGAAAATGAACCTAAATTAAATTGGCTAGATTATATACCCAAAACACATATTAAAAAAAAACTTTTTTTTGAATTTAAAATTTCCAGCCTCTCTCATTTGTGTGCATGTTTAGTTGCAGCTACACAAACAAATCTAGTTTAATAAAGTCCTAAAGGACAAAACACATCATGAAAACTTTTTCCACTTTGTCATACATCTTTCCACCAAAATTGTTCTTGATATATAAAAATTGATATATCATTTTTGTAGCATGGATGATAGTGGGTATGTCCCCATTCATATAAATACAGTTTTAAATACTGTATATTGGTCTGCAGTTGGAAATTCATTGTGAAATTTACTTGATTCACTTCTAGCAGTTGACTACTTTTACGCACAACTGGTAAATCTTATATATGTTGTTCGTGTCCTAAGTATTATCGTTTATTACCAACCTTCATTTGATTATTCTTTTCAGTAACCTTCCCTAGGTTACAACACATTATCTTATAGATAGATAGTTGAAAAAGGAAGAAAAATATTATATTTGCTGTTAGAAAATATGTGTATATGATGAACTATGTGGCTGGGTTTAGAGTGTAGCAGTTAGCTACCTAGGGAAAGAAGTTTCCCTGGAGGCAACAAGATGTCTTGTACCTACCAGATTCTAGATTGAAAAGAGAAAGAGTTATGGCTGTTTCTTTATAGTTGTGAACAGCACCACCTAGAGGGCATCTTGGTAAATAAGATATGGGTAACCCCCACAAGTAAATATGTTGAGTTATGTTCCTTTGTATGCAACAACTTTGTTTTGAAAAAGAGCCTCATGCAGGGAATAAAATGGATCTCGAGAAGCCAGATTCCCATTTAACCAAACATTCATTGACTGCTTCCTTCATTAACTACTAACACAACAATATTTACACCAGACAAAAATCATATTTCATATAATTTTAAATACAGTTCTTTTTGCTTTTTTTAAATTATCCTTTAGTATGTGAGAAGGAAAAAGCTGATAGGCAAACAGTGGGTAACAGGAAAATATTTAAACCCTTTAATTTAGTAAATAAAAAAGAAATTTAATAAATAAAAAGAAAAGTTATTATTCATTTTTTACTACTATTTTTTTCACCTAAACTTCATTTTTTTTTATCAAACTACTCAGATCATCATTACAGTCATGAGAAGATGCAATAAAAAATTACTGAAATTAAGATGAGAAAATACTATTTCAAAATTAATAAGTGACAATACTTCATCAGATAATACAAATGATAAAATTAAAAAGAAATGTTATATATTTGTTATAAATCAATGTAGGCATCAAGATCTATTAGATCTTAGATTTTAAAGTAAAATTCTTAAAATCTAAATTTCCTGACAAGTCAAAATGATGCTAATATTTAATGTTTCTCAAGAACTATGATAAGTATTTTCGCCTTGGCAATTCTACAAATTCAGGAACGCAGATAAATTTCTGCAGAGCATTAAATTTCAACGAAGGATGAGATTATAGAAAGTTTAGGGGGTAAAGATTTGACCTTGTAAAAATAGTCAACTTCTCTGCAAAGAAAGAAGAAAGGAAAACAAGAAAGCAGATAAAGTGCAAATATAACATTTTATATTCCAGAAATTGTTGAGCTGCTTTAAAAAAATTGTTTTGTTTTTTTTTAGTCTGGAGTTTCTGCTTATAAGACAGTTTTCCTACAACAGGAAATAAACTAAAAACAGGAGGATTTCTTAATGACTCTTCTTACTACTTCAACTCAAATAGTTTTATCCAACTGCTACTTAGACTATCACATGGACTGACTACTTGATATATCTTTTTATTTATGCTTGATGCATAGACGTATTAGTAGGCACAAAATGTGTGCAAATATTTAACTGAAAAATGCTTGGCTCTATTTGAATGTTTGTTACTTGAAGAGTATAACATTTCTAACAATTTAATAACTATACATGCTTTAAAGATGAAACTTTGCAGATTGATAATTTGATATGTTTTAAGTATTATGTATTTTTCATCTTTCTCTGTAAATTAGGGGTTAATTAAATTTTATTTAAAGTTGGTATCCATTCAACTGAGATATTGAATCTTATTAATAATTTTGAAGAAAAAGAACTTTCTATCTTGTCTGAAATTGATTAATTAATAGAATCTATTCTGATAATTTCCACTCTAATTTGAATGTCTAATTCGTTTGTTTTACCAAATCTAAATTTATACAGATTTTTAAAAATTTTCTTTAAAACACCACAAAATCATAACTCTTCAGCCTCAGGCTTATTTTACTTTTTCAATGAGTTTTGGTTAATTAGTTTAAAAAATTAAACTGACCGTAAAAATTCTACTTCATAAGTATCTGTAACTACATTCTGAAAGGGACATGACATTAAAAAAAATCAAAATGATCAACGATTCTAAGAATATAATAGATAACGGATAATGACCAAAACCTATCAAAAACCCTCCTTTGTGGTCATATCATCACGGTTAGCTTGTCAACCAACATTGATGATCAAGTTCTGCTAACTTAAAACTGGAAAAGTGTTTATTGCTCGTTTGCTCCTAAGTGCAAGGGCGATAACTCTTATTCTAAACGCCATGTAGTTTTACTGAATTAACATTTTCAAATATATTTCCTTTACGATTATAATTTTTAAATGACAAAATGGAGCAGGTTAAAAAAAAAATTAGGATAAACCTCCATTCCTGTATGCAAATAAAAATATTGTCAGTAAATAAACATTAAATTTAGTCTACAACAAAAAAAATATTAATTTTTTCGTT